AACAGAACAGAACAGAACAGAACAGAATAGAATAGCAGAGTTGGAAGGGACCCTGGAGGTTTTCTAGTCCCCCCCTGCTCAAGCAGGAAACCCTACACCACTTCAGATGAATGTTTATCCAATCTCTTCTTAAAAACTTCCAGTGTTGGAGCATTTACAACTTCTGGAGGCAAGTTGTTCCACTGATTAACTGTCAGGAAATTCCTCCTTCGTTCTAAGTTGCTTTTCTCCTTGATTAGTTTCCCCAATTGCTTCTTGCCCTGCCCTCAGGTGCTTTGGAGAATAGCTTGATTCCCTTTGACTACATCATGACCATCGGGGTGCAAATAAACATTTTCACATGGGCTGTGCTGCCGTATTTATGGTGGGGATGTTTGCCACTTGACGCACCCGTTTCTCGACCATGGCAACAGAGCTTTTAGCCTGTTCTACCCCGTCCCCGAAAAGAAACAATTGGCATAGCAATCAAACTAGAGAAAAACCTGGCACCATATCGATTTGAAACACATTCCGCGGTTCGCGGCGTATCTTTCTTTCTAGCAATTTATAAGACCGATCCTTCAGCTTCAGCTTTTTTCCATCCTAATCGCCGTTTTCTATGTTCCTCTGCTCCTCACTCACCTTCATGAATTGCTCCATGGATTTGGAGGCTAAGGAGAGTTGGAACGAAAGAGAGTGTTGGGATCCACTGGAGGAAGAAAAAAAAAAAAAAAAGAACACGCAGATATGTGACATTTCTCCTCTGATTCTTTTAAGATGAGTAAGCGACATCCGCGATCACCGTTCCTGATTGCTTTTTGGCATTCTACCACCAGCCTCAGCCAATCATCGCATCCACGATCTTGCGTTTAAAATAAGCAATCCCAACGATCCCTCCCCGTCACTCACGCTAAACTTCTTGGCTCAGGTTTCCTTTCGCACAGGACTGTGTAGGTTTCGCATCATTTTAAAATTAGGTTTCATTTTTTTATTTTATTTATTTTTATTTTATTTTAATTTGATTTATATGCCGCCCTTCTCCGGAGACTCAGGGCGGCTTACAATGCGCTAAGCAATAACCTTCATTCTTTTGTATATTTTTTATACAAAGTCAGCTTATTGCCCCCACAAACTGGCGTCCTCATTTCCCTACCTTAGAAAGGATGGAAGGCTGAGTCAACCTTGAGCATTGGTGAGATTCGAACCAGCAGAAATTGCAGGCAGCTGTGTTAATAAAAGGGTGCACTAAACCACTGTACTATCAAGGCTCATGCATCCAGACCCGCGATGGCGAACCTACGACACGCGTGCCACAGATGGCATGTGGAGCAGTGGTTGGGTTCTAACCGGCTTTACTCTCTTGTGCACGCACTTCGTGGGTGATCGCCTCTTGGTCTGCGTGCGTTTTTTGCTCTCTTCGCTCACCATACGCGCCAAACTTGCACTCTGCACATTGCAGAGTCCCTTGGGAGTTGGGCGGCATAGAAATATGATTAATTAAATTAAATTAAATTAAAGTACAAATCTGCCCAGCTGAGGTGCGGCAATCCATTCTGCCGCACCTATCAGGTGGGCCTAAAAGAAGAAATAATAAAAGGTAAGAATAACATGGGAGGGCCCAGTCTCCGAACAAAGAGAACCAGTTCGGTGACGTAATATTTCCCTTGGCCCCGTTTCTGACCTTCCTAAACTTCCGGTAGGCCCGTTTTTCGCCTACCCTAACCCGGACCCTCCGCAAGCCCCTGCACTTACCTGCATCCAAAACAGGCTGCATATTAGATGCTACATATTATCATATATGGTGGACATGCAAGAAAGCAAAGGCTTTTGGGATAAAAATTTGGTGGGTTATGCAAAATGTCTTGAAGAAAAAAAAATTCAATTTTCTCCTCAATTGTTTTTACTGGGTATAGTTAAGGGTTTTTCAGTGGGGTGAAACAAAGTTGATATTGTATATGGTGACAGCAGCTAGGTTACTGATTGGTCAATATTGGAAAAGGGATGTTATGCCTACAATTCAAGAATGGACTTTGAAGATGGCCAGTTTTGCAGAAATGGCGAAGATATCAGCATACTTAAAAGACGGACTCAAGAGACTTATGTATGGGAGTGGAAGAAATGGATAGATTATGTGCAGAATAAATACCAAACTAGGAAGTACCAGATAGCTTTTAGCTGAATGTTGTGTAGAAATGTATAGTATATAGGGGGTAAAATAGCTTATTGTTATGTAGAAATGTATAGTGCACAGGGGGGAGAATAGAGGGGTGGTAAAGTATGATATAATATAATGTGGATGGATTTCACCTTGGGGAAGTCACGGGGAGAGGGGAGGGCTTGGGGGGGTGGGGTTAGGAGGGATGGGGGGGGGAAATGGGGAAAAATTGATATTTGTAAAACTTTTTCAATAAAAAAAAAACAGGCTGCATGGGGACTCCTGGGAGGGGAGGGGAGGGGTGGGTGGGGTGGGCCAGCCAGGAGTGGGATTTGGGGGTTCTCCGAACTGCACAGAATTTTAGCTAGAAGTTCTCCGGAACCCCTGTGAACTACCAGCAGCCCCACCCCTGGACTTACTCCCCCCTCCCCAAAAAAAACAGTCCTGCTATTGCAGAAAGCAGTTGGCAGCCTTGGTCAACTTGCTGACTGAGTTCCTGGATCACACTGGTGAAATGCCACTTGATATATGAAGGCACTTACTTGTTCTTGAAATCTCACGGAAATTCAGGTAATCCAAGAAAGGTATAACCAGGCCTTGCCCAAGGAAGATCTTGACAAGCTTGGTGGATACATCTTGACGACTCTCCACCAAACATACTTCTTCCAGAAGGGCGAGTGGGGTGAGGTCATCGGCCTCCTGTGCAGAGTGTCAAAAAATACCTATCATTAACGTACACACACCTATGATATTGAAAACGTACACACACCTTCCTGATATAGAAAAAGGCCTTGAGGTCAATCATTCGATGGAGAATTAGAACTGTATGTATTCATCGTGCGACGAGTCCATTACTGAACTCATGTAAATCAGGTAAGGGTCTAATTGGAACCTTCAATTCGGTTGAAATAATTGAATAGATTCCCGTTTGCGATTTCTTTCAACGTTGTGCTTCAGATGATTGGATTGATTCAATTAGACACGTTTATCTGCAAAGTCTGTCCAATATTTGGTTCACTTTAAAGGCATCCGATGCACTGATCTGAAGGTTTGATTTGAAATAATCATCAGCTCAGACCAACTTTGAATTGAAAGTTCACACAAATGTGTATAATCGATTGTGAATCCCTCTTGACCTCTTAAGACTTCAGACTTGAGATGGACTTCTGAAGAGAGCAATCCTGCATTCCTAGGGAGCTCTCGAGGTCCTGTAATCTCAAATTATCCATATATAGAGAGAAAACTCTGCTCTTTCCTGTTTGCACTGCACTTGTTGATACCAAAACTGGAACAAACAACTCTTGTCTTGAAATGTATGAATTATCATTTTTTTAGTTTGATACATTTGGCTGTTACATTGCACTCAATAATGAACTAAATGGGCACCATCAGTGAGCTGTTGGACAGCATTACTTGGTCTGTTGAGTGGATGTTTGGGTGGTTCAGGGGCAGGGAATTTGTGATGGGTGGGTGGGGTGTTTGGGATTGTTATGTATGTTGGGCCTGGTCTTTGGGTGTTATGTGAATTTTGTTGTATGGGTATACTGTGTATATGCATACAATGACAATAAAGTACCGTGTTTTCCCGAAAATAAGACATCCCCTGATAATAAGCCCAAATGCGCTAAAATAAGCCTCCCTCCCAAAAAATAAGACCTCCCTGAAAATATTTAAACGCAGAGCTGGAAATCAGGTAATAAGACGGCAAGAGGAGTCCCATCTTGCTCCACGCGCCTCAAAATAATAAGACCTCCCCGAAAATAAGACCTCCCTGCTTATATCAGGGTTCAAAAAAATATAAGACAGGGTCTTATTTTCAGGGAACAGGGTAAATACGGTTTGTATTTATTTATTTATTTATTTATTTATTTATTTATTTTTATTTATTTATTTATATTGAGTTCAAAATCATGCTAAGCCTAATGTTTTATGATGTTTGTGTATCTATATTTTTCTTGACTGTACACCGCCTTGAGTCCTACGGGAGAAAGGCGGTAAATATAAATTAATAATAAATAAATAAATAAATAAATAAATAAATGTAATTTTTTTTTTCTGATTGAGGTTTAACCTGCTGTGTGAATCCAGATCCATTACTGTTTTTAAGCTATAATTGATGGCTTCTCGTAACCTAGATACCCAGCCAATGTGGATTATCCAACAAACCACAATTAAAAACAACCGTCAGCAACTCTCTTATTCACATTCATTTTGTCTATAATTAGGACATCTCTTTTTATAATCCCCCCTTCTTCCCACATTAAATAACCCAATACAGATGTGTTCAGCTTTATATAGATTCTGTTCAACCTAACTATACCCACCTCTGGAGGACACAAGACAGATTCCACAAGGAGGTCTATCAGGGGTTGATAGTAGCTGGAAGGCAGGATCTGTCTTCAGCAAGCCGAACCTGCAACCTTAGCTGACCCAGTTTTTCCCTGCAAGCAGAGGAGAGGCTAACATGACGTCTAACCTGCAAGTTGTGCTTTGCAAAGAGAGGTTTACAAAGGAAGGCAACCGTTTAACATCAAGGACTGGATGTTGATGAACATTACGTTGAGCGGACATGTCAACCTCAGAAACTTTAAATATGAGCCAGCCGTGTGCAGCAGCTGCCAAAAAAGCCAACACAGTTCTAGGCTGCATCGACAGAGGGATAGAATCAAGATCATGTGAAGTGTTAATACCACTTTATAAGGCCTTGGTAAGGTCACACTTGGAATATGGCATCCAGTTTTGGTTGCCACGATGTAAAAAAGATGTGGAGACTCTAGAAAGGGTGCAGAGAAGAGCAAGGAAGAGGATTAGGGGACTGGAGGCTAAAACATAGGAAGAACAGTTGCAGGAATTGGGTATGTCTGGTTTAATGAAAAGAAGGACTAGGGGAGACATGATAGCAGTCTTCCAATATCTCAGGGGCTGCCCCAAAGAAGAGGGAGTCAAGCTATTCTCCAAAGCACCTGAAGGCAGGACAAGAAGCAATGGGTGGAAACTAATCAAGGAGAGAAGCAACCTAGAACTAAGGAGAAATTTCCTGACAGTTGGAACAATTAATCAGTGGAACTCCTTGCCTCCAGAAGTTGTGGATGCTCCAACACTGGAAGTTTTTAAGATGATGTTGGATAACCATTTGTCTGAAGTGGTGTAGGGTTTCCTGCCTAAGCTGGAAATCCTGGAACTGCTAGGATTGGCAGAAGCTGGGACAAGTCATGGAAGCTCACCCCGTTACGCGGCACTAGGGATTTGAACCGCTGAGCTGCCGACCTTTCAATCGACAAGCTCAGCATCTTAGCCACTGAGCCACCACATCTCACATGACATCTCTTTAAATCTGAACTAGGCTCAGCAGCTCCAGAGGTGGTATTCAGCAGGTTCTGACCAGTTTTGGAGAACCGGTAGTGGAAATTTTGATTAGTTCGGAGAACCGGTAGTAAAAATCCTGATTGGCTCCACCCCCATCTATTCTCTGCCTCCCGAGTCCCAGCTGATCAGGAAGTAATGGGGATTTTGCAGTATCCTTCCCCTGGAGTGGGGTGTCAGACTTTGATGCTATCTCAAAATAAATGAATTTCCAAACTGCCAATCTTTAAGGAAGGAAATCTTTCTTTAATTGAGCACAGCCACGGATCATGACTCGATGCGGACAAGACTGACCTTTTGCCCCCCAATCCCTCCCTTTCCGATCCCCAAATCTCTGCTTCTCATTGGCTATCTTCCAAGTCATTCTTCAGACTTCTTGTCTCGTCATTTCCCAGGAATGTTCCCCCCCTCTTCATTTCCACGACAACCCGACTTCAAAGGGATTTAGCAGGCAAAAGTTCAGAGCTTATCTCTCTCTCTCTATGCCAGCGTTGAAGCGCTGACATCGGGTGGGAATGGCGATTTTATAGTATGTTTCCCCTGCCATGCCCACCAAGCCACACCCACTAAGCCACGCCATGCCCACCAAGCCACACCCACAGAAACCGGTAGTAACAAAATTTGAAACCCACCGTGAGCAGCTCCCTAGCTAACAGCTACAAAAATAATTCACAGGTCTCTGAGAAGGGTATTTTGACTGGTCCACAATGGGTGCTCAAATCCCAAATGTTGCATGCTTCACAAAAGGGACCACTTCTTATTTACCCAGCGTCCTCTCCTGAAGAGGGCAGAGGAAGCAGACGGAACCAATCTTTGAGAACGGACTTCTGCACGGAGCCCAGGCAGAACTTGACCTGCACGGAAGACAAGGAAAAAGGCAGGTATAAACCCAGGGATCAAGAGTGAAACCGCAGCGACGAAATGCTTCTTTCCTTTTTATTTATTGATCTGCCTCTGCAGTCACAGACCAAGATCAAAGATCTTTCTGCTGCTTGAGAAAAGGAAAAAAACAAAAACAACGAAGCGCGTACCGAAATGCAAAACACCGGAGGGCAAGACAAGAAACAATGGTTGGAAACGAACCAAGGAGAGAAGCAACTGGGAATGAAGGAGAAACTTCCTAACCGTGAGGACAATTAACCAGTGGAACAGCTGGCCTCCAGAAATCGTGGGTGCTCCAACAATGGAGGCTTTTAAAAAGAAATTAGACAGCCACTTATCTGAAATAGTATAGGTTCTCCTGCTTGAGCACTGGGTTGAACTAGAAAACTCCAAGGTCTCTTCCAGATTATTCTATTCTATTCTATTCTATTTCTGTTCTGTTCTGTTCTGTTCTGTTCTGTTCTATCTGTTCTGTTCTATTCTGTTCTGTTCTATTCTATTCGATCTACTCTATTCTATTCTATTCTACTCTATTCTACTCTATTCTAAATTCTTATTCTATTCTAAATTCTTATTCTATTCTATTCTATTCTAGTCTAGTCTAAATTCTTATTCTACTCTAGTCTAGTCTACTCTAGTCTAGTCTCTTTTCTTTTCTTTTTTTCTTTTCCTTTCTTCTCTTTTCTTTTCTATTAAATTCTAATTCTATTCGGTCTAATTCTATTCTATTCTATTCTATTCTATTCTATTCTATTCTATTCTATTCTATTCTATTCTATTCTCTTTACTTTTCTTCTCTTCTCTTCTTTTCCTTTCTCTCTTCTCTTCTCTATTAAGTTCTAATTCTATTCATTCTAATTCTATTCTATTCTATTCTATTCTATTCTATTCTATTCTATTCTATTCTATTCTATTCTTATTGTAGTCTATTCTGTTCTAGCCTAGCCTAGCCTTGATCTCTTTTCTTTTCTTTTTTCCTTCTCTCTTTTTCTCTCTCCTCTCCTTCTCCTCTTCTTCTATTAAATTCTAATTCTCCTAATTAATTCTAATTCTAATTCTAATTCTAATTCTAATTCTAATTCTAATTCTAATTCTAATTCTCTATTCTATTCTATTTCTATTCTAAATATATGGCTGATTGCCACTTAAGATGGAAACGAATCGATTAAATCTGATCTATGATATTTCCTTATGGCCATCTGGACTGAACAATATTTTATAATTTTTTTTAAGGGGTTGATATCATTATTAGCCAGAAAGAATGCATTCTCTTCCATAGATTAGACAGAAGGATTAGCTAAGAGACATGATATGAATCCAGAGTTCCAAATACAGGACAGTGGACAATTCAACAGAACATGGGATGCTAATTCAACTACTTCTTCCATGCTGGAGCAATCTTAGATGGAAGACAAAGGCAAGAACATACTAAAAATATTCATCTAGAAGTGAAGAGTAAATTCTAGTGATCCTCCCAGTTATGGAACCTCCATGGAGGACTCTGGGGGACATTCCTCTCTCTTTTCCCAAGACCCATTGTGGTGTTGTGTTGAAGGTGCTGGACTAGAGGTAGGGAGACCCAGTTCCCAGTCTCTTCCTCAGCAATGAAGGCTCCCTTGAGGACTTTGAGTCCTGAGGACTGAGGTTGGTCTAGTGGTGAAGTTGTTGGACCAGAAGTAGGGAGCCTCCAAGTTCTACTCACTACTCAACTGATTTTCAGCAGTTGGGACTGGAAGAGAAATGGGGTGCTGCAAACACGATGTTCATAGATGGCGTGTCAACTTCTAAACTAAAGAGTTGTGTTGGTTGAACATTCTCTCAAGTCTCCTACACAATGAGGTGCTTGGTTAAGCTCAGGCCAAGAGTCAACCTCCTTCATCCATGAGTCTTCTTTGTCCTTACCTGTCCCAGGAAGTCATTCTTCCCCACCATGTCCCAATCCCAGACTTCTACAACAAGGGGTGCCTCGGAATCAGCCCCCTCTTCCAGGACAAACTCCAACATCTCCTCCCAACGTGGGAAACGAGTCTTCTTGATAATCTGAAGAGCCATAAGAGAGGGAAAGCTGAGTTTTCTACTTAAAGCTTTGGGTTCCACCAGTTATTAACTCGTGACTGGCTGTTTAGCAGAGTCCTGCAGTCCCTTATACCACAAAAAAAAAACAGCATTTATTTCTGGTTTTCAGCCAAAAGTTCCACAGCAAACAATCGTTTTGCTTAATGACCATGGTGCTCATTTATCACCACTGTACAATCACTGAAAGGACAGGTTTCATGACAGTCATAAATTGAGGACTGTTTGTAGTGAAGAGAAGGACCAGGGGAGACAAGAGAGCAGTCTTCCAATATTTGAGGGGCTGCCACAGAGAGGGAAGGGGGTCGAGCTATTTTCCAAAGAACCTCAAGGACAGAAAAGGAATAACAGATGGAAACTGACCAAGGAGAGATTCAACCTGGAAATAAGGAGGATTTTTCTGACCATCAACCCATGGAACAGAAGTTGCCTTCAGAAGTTGTGGGAGCTTCATCACTGGAAGCTTTCAAGAAGAGACTGGACTGCCATACGTCGGAAATGTTGTAGGATCTCCTGTTTGGGCAGGGGGTTGGACTAGATGACCTATAAGGGTCCCTTCCAACTCTGTTAATCTGTCTGTATATTTTTTATGAGTGGAGTTTTCTTGGAGTGTAAAGGTGAAGAAGAAGAAGAAGAAGAAGAAATGTATTTCCAGGCTTGCAAGATTCTATTAATATAATCTTACAATAAAGACAGAGCTAAGGTTCCCCATTGGGCTTCTTCTACTAGATGGAATGGAGATTCTGCAGTATCCTTCCCCTGGAGAGGGGTGGGAATGGGGATTTTGTAGTATCCTTCCCCTGGAGTGGAGATTTTGCACTTCCCCTGCCACGCCGACGAAACCACACCACACCCACCAAGCCACGCCCATAGAACCAGTAGTAAAAAAAACTGGATTTCACCAGTGATCTCTTCCCAACCATTGTGATCACTTGTAGGTTCCTCCGCCATTCAGAAGCTACCCACAACATCGCTGCCCTAGCCTGCAAAATATATCCAAAGATACTCACCGCTGTTTCCAGGATCTGCCCATTAAACAGCACGCGGGCAAAGGGATCTGAAGTGCCCGAGAGATCACGTGGTGCTAGATCTCTAAGGGGAAGAAAGCAAGAGCAGATCAAGGGCATGAAAAAGCAGATCAAAAGCAAGAAAGCGAGAGAGAAAAAATAGCACAGTCGTAATTTTTTCCCCCAAGAATAAGCCGGTCATCAATGGATAGGCCATTGATTGTGATTCATTCCAGCAAAGATCTAGTTAGCAAAACGACAATTTTCTGTTGCATTATAAACTTTCTCAGTTATTTGCAAATAGGATATGGATCGTAGCTTGTTTGGAGATAGTTAACCACTGTTTTCCAGTTTGCCTGTAATAGAAATAGGCTTCTAGAGGAGATAATACAGAAACCAGTAAAGGGAGAGCCGGAGCAATTTTTACTAGGGATTCCAATAGAAAATTATACAAAAGATACACAATATTTAACACTACATATATTAACAGCAGCTCGCCTTGATAGTACAGTGGTCTACGCACCCTGTTATTAACACAGCTGCCTGCAATTTACTGCTAGTTCGAATCTCTCCAAGGCTCAAGGTTGACTCAGCCTTCCATCCTTTCTAAGGTAGGTGAAATGAGGACCCAGTTTGTGGGGGCAATAAGCTGACTTTGTATAAATATACAAAAGGATGAAGGCTATTGCTTAACGCATTGTAAGCCGCCCTGAGTCTCCGGAGAAGGGCGGCATATAAATCGAATTTAAAATATATATATATATATGCGCAAAATTGGAAGAAGGAAAGCCCACCAACAGAAGAGGACTTAATTTAAAAAAATCCTCGAATGCGGCAGAGATGGACAAGTTAACAAAGGAAATTAAGGAAAGAGAGGATACAGATTATTATAGAGTGTGGTACAGATGGCATGATTGGTGGGAGAAAAGGAAAAACGAAAAAAAAGGAATAAAGGAAAAAAGGGGGAAAGGAAAAAAAAGGAGATTGCGTTGAAGATCAAACTATAGTTTGGTCGATATAAAGGAAGTTAGATTGTTTAAGCAGATCAAGACAAAGTTGGAATATATGTAAATAATAAGAAAGGATCGTCTTAAATGAGCTGTTAACAACAGAAAAATGAAATGTACAGAAGTATTGTATGTTTTGTGTTTATTTTAATGTGTTTAAAATAAAAAAAACTTTTAAAAAAAGAAAAGAAATGACAACGAACAGCCGCAAAGAAGAATAAGTGTACGATGGAAGAAAGTTACACATCATTTTGAACGTTGGAATGGGTGGGAAAAACCAGGTTTGATCTCCACCAGAAGTTCTGTCAAACCAAAGGAAATTTGCAATTAACTGTCCTTTCTCTCTCCCACCTCTCGCACTGCCAAAAACGTTCACAGCTATTTTTTTAAAAAAATCATAAACTGTTAATTATCTCACTTTCTTCTAAAGGAGACGGAGAGGAAAATTTTAAAAAATAAAATAAAAATCACACTCCCTCTCAACAACCTCAACACCTTTCTGTTACAGCACCTTCTGAAATTTTCACCGATCGGGGTGTCATTCGCAAATCCTCACACCCCTCGATCACTTTGTCTCAATTTGAAAAGAAGAGCTGGCAGATAGTTCTGCTCAGGTAGGTTCTTGATAAGGGCCCCAACAAACTTCAAAACTGAGATAGAGTTCCAAGAGATAGAATAGAATAGAATCACAGAGTTGGAAGGGACCTTGGAGGTCTTCTAGTCCAACCCCCTGCTTAGGCAGGAAACCCTACACCACTTCAGACAAATGCTTGTCCAATCTCTTTTTTAAAACTTCCAGTGTTGGAGCATTCACAACTTCTGGAGGCAAGTTGTTCCACTGATTCATTGCTCTCACTGTCAGGAAATTTCTCCTTTAGTTCTAGGTGGCTTCTCTCCTTGATAGATAGACAGACAGACAGACAGATAGATGATAGATAGAGATAGATGATAGTTGATAATAGATAGATAAATAGATGAGAGATGAGAGAGAGAGAGAGAGAGAGAGAGAGAGAGAGAGAGAGAGAGAGAGAGAGAGAGGAGAGAGAGAGAGAGAGAGAGATGATAGATAGAGATAGATAATACTTGATAATAGATAGATAAATAGATGATAGATGATAGATAGATAGATAGATAGATAGATAGAGATAGGTAGATAGATAGATGATACGATGATCAATAGTTAGATAGATAGATAGGTAGATGATAGTTGATGATGGATAGATAAATAATTGATAGAAGATAGATAGATAGATAGATAGATAGATAGATAGATATAGATAGATGATAGATAGATAGATAGATAGATAGATAGATAGATAGATAGGCAGACAGACAGACAGACAGACAGAATGACAATAAATAGGAGCCGTGGTGGCCCAGTGGTTAGGATTCAATATTGCAAGCTAACTCTGCCCACAGCTAGGAGTTCGATTCTGACCGGCTCAAGGTTGACTCACCCTTCCACGGTCAGTAAATGAGGACCCAGATTGTTGGGGGCAAGAGGCTGACTGTGTAAACCGCTCAGAGAGATCCGTAAAGCATTGTAAAGCGGTATATAAGTGCTATTGCTATCGCTCTTCTACCCAAGGAAACGCAGCCAACCTCCCACTCCAGCTGCAGATCGACCTTCCTTTCCCTTCCGTTACCTCGCTTCAAGGACACGGCAGCAGAGCAGCCGTTGGTGGGCTTCCTCCACCACCTGCAACTCCAGCGAGATTTCCCCCTGCACCTCCTCGTTGGGGTCCACGGGGCTCAGGTTGATCCAGCTATCGATCCCTGCCACGAAGAGAAATCTTCTCTTTCATCTCATCCTTGGTGAGTCCCTTCCCCCTTTCATAGTAGCAGAGAATCTGCCCAACACTCCATCCCGTGTTTTTCTTTCTCCCCCCCCCCCCCCCCCGCTACTCCAAGGACTGCACCTTGGTGCATGAATGGCTTCATTTGGGACCACTCACCCCTTGGCTGTGATGAAATCTCGTCTTTGCTCAGGGAGATTTTGCCAATGACATCGTCGTGTCTGCAGAGAAGGAAGCCGAAAGAGAAACCTGAGATCGCAAAGTTTTGCCACCCCCCCCCGGTAGAAAAAAAATAAATAAATAAAACAATACCTTTGTTCCCTTCCTTGGTTCTACAACTAACTCTGCACTTTATGGGCTACATGGGGCTACCCTTGAAGAGTATCCGGAAGCTTCAGCTAGTGCGGAACGCAGCGGTAGGGATAGTTCTTGGAGGCCCTAAGATTTCAGTCCATGTTAGATGGCTGTTCTGAGAGCTGCACCGGCTGCCAGTTTCTGTGCTTTCAGGCCCAATTCAAGGCTTCTTTTCTTTCTTTCTTCTTTTCTTTCTTTCTTTCTTTCTTTCTTTCTTTCTTTCTTTCTTTCTTCTTTCTTTCTTTCTCCTCTCCCTTCCCTTCCCTTCCCTTCCCTTCCCTTCCTCCTCTTTCTTTCTTCTTCCCCCTCCTTCTTCCTTCCTTCCTTCTTCCTCCCTCCTTTCTTTCTTTCTTTTTTTCTTTCTTTCTTTCTCCCTTCCCTCCCTTCCTTTCTCCCTTTTCCTTCCTTCCTTCTCCCTTTCTCCCTTCCCTTCCTTCCTTCTTCCTTCCTTCCTTTTTGCCTTCCCTCCCTCCCCCCTCGTCCTTCCTTCCTTCCTTCCTCCTCTGTTTCACTTTCATTCTCCTCTCCCTCCCTCTCCCTTCCTTCCTTCCTCCCTCCCCCCTTCTTTCTTTCTTCTTCCTTCCTTCCTTCCCCCATTCTTTCTACCCCTTTTCCTCCCTCCTTTCTTTCTTTTCTTTCTTTTTCTTTCTTTCTTCCTTCTTTCTTTCTCTCTTCCCTCCTCTTCCTTCTTCCTTCCTTCCTTTCTCCCTTTCTCCCTCTCTCCCTCCCTCTTTCTTTCTTCCTTCCTTCCTTCCTTTCTCCCTTCCCTTCCTTCCTTCCTTCCTTCCTTCCTTCCTTCCTTCCTTCCTTCCTTTCTCCCTTCCCTCCCTCCCTCTTCCTTCCTTCCTTCCTCCTCTTTCTTCTTTCCTTCCTTCCTCCCTCCCTCCATTCCCTCCCCTGCCCTCCCTCCCTCCCTTCCTTCTTTTGCGTTCCACTCACCCAATGGTGTCTTCATCCAAGACATAGAAAGAGAGGTTGTGGAATCCCATGGGAAGGTGCAGGGTATATTCTTCTCCCCAGAAGGGGTTGAGATTCTTCCAAACCGTGGCAGTCCTGAAGGGCAGAAGAAAAGGGAAGGAAGGAGGACTCTTGACTTGCTTAAAGTGTCAGAATGGCCATCCCAATGCCAGTCTGCCACGAACCCTGAGGGGAGGGGGGGGAAGAAGAGATGGGGGGGAGGGGAGAGGGCTGGGTGAAAATGAAACTGTACTGTGAGAATCGTTCTTTGGGAGAACCTAGGAAGTCTTCCAGGTCCTTTCCCTGGGAGAAGAATGCCAACACGTAAAGTGACCGTTTAAAAAACATCTCTTTTAAAATTCTTTCTTTTTAAAATTATTAATACGAAGAATAAATATTATCAATATGGTACTATAATTATGATTATTACTGCTTCTCAACACACTGTTTGTGTAGATGTTAAGATTGTGTTCTTCTACTGTCATTTCAAGAAATTTTTATACAACAAGGAAAAGAAAAAGATGGAAGGAAAGAGAAGTGGAGGGGTGAAGGGAGAGAGGGAAGGGGAGTGGGATGGAGGAGAGGAGGGGAAGGGAGAAAGGCGAAGGGAAGTGGAGAAGGAAGGGGACAGAAGAAGAGAGAAGGAGAAAGGGGAAAGGAGAGAGGAGAGAGGGAAGTGGATGGGAGGAGAGGAGTAGGAGAAAGGGAAGGAGAGGGAAGTGGAAAAGAGGGGAGAGGAGAGCGGAGAGGAGGAAAGGAAAAGGGAGGAGAGGGGAGGAGAGAGGAGAAGGAGAAGAGAGAGGAAGGGAGGGAAGGAGTAGGAAAGAGACGGAAAGAGATGGACTGTCGTAAAACTGAAAATGTGATGTATTATGAAGGAAAACGTATAATAAAAACATTTTTTTAAAAAAATCTTTCTGTGCCATTTTGAGAGGATAAAGCTCTGAACAGATGCAATCTTTTGCTATCTTAATTCTGGGCAAATCGTTACGGACAGGTGGAAAACAATAGAAGAATAGCAAATGCTTCGCCCAGCCAGCCGTGAAAAACGTTAGACCCAAAATATGCCTTTTTCTAACGTTTTTGCACGGAAGCGGGCTTTGTTTTTCAGGGAGTGTACAGCAAATCAGCCAATCGATCAATCGCCTTTATTATGTTGCCTTTTCGAAATCTTTCTTTAAACGTAATGTTAGGGAGGCTGACCAGAGCTCTTTTCTGACTTTTCCTGGCTTCGATTCAAGGTTAAAAACCATATTTTCTAGAATTTTTTTCTAATAATTAGGAACATGCATTATTCATACACACAGACACACACAAAACATATACAGTACACACTGCTTATCACACACACATATGTTTACATGTACTCTGTATATGTGTGTATATGTATACATACCCACATAAACATATATAATTGTTTGTATATGTATATATTTATATATACACACATATACAAATACATATATACAGACATACATCTATATCTGTCTCTCTGTGTCTCTCTAATCTCTCATCTACCTCTCTATTTATCTCTCCGTATTTCTCTCTAATCTCTCATCTGTCTGTCTGTCTGTCTATCTAATCTACTACCTCTCTCTCTCTCTCTCTTCCTCCTCCTCCTCCGCCTCCTCCTTCTCTTTTCTAGCACTGATAATGTTACCTAGTTGGGTAGTAAAACGTCTACAAGAAAACAACCAAGCTCAGAGAGCACCAAAGACCCCACAGTCCTCCTTCTCCTCCTCCTCTCCACAAACCCCACTCCCTTCTACAATTGATGATGTTACTTAGTTGGGTAATGTAACGTCTACAAAAAAAAAAAAAAACACGAAGCTCGGTAAACGGTAAAGGTTGCCCTCACACATAGGTGCTAGTCGTTCCCGACTCTAGGGGGCGGTGCTCATCTCCGTTTCAAAGCCGAAGAAGAGCCAGCGCTGTCCGAAGACGTCTCTGTGGTCATGTGGCCGGCAGGATTAACGCCAAAGGTGCACAGAATGCTGTTACCTTCCCACCAAAGGTGGTCTCTATTTTTCTACTTGCATTTTTTTTACCTGCTTTCGAACTGCTAGGTTGGCAGAAGCTGGGACAAGTCACGGGAGCTCACCCCCGTTATGTGGCGCCAGGGATTCGAACCGCTGGATTGCTGACCTTACGATCGACAAGCTCAGCATCTTAGCCCCTGAGCCACTGTGTCCTCCTCCTCCTCCTCCTCCTCCTCCTCCTCCTCCTTCCTCCTCCTCCTCCTCCTCCTCCTCTCCACAAACCCCACTCCCTTCTACAATTGATGATGTTACTTAATTGGGTAATGAAATGTCTAAAAAAAAAAAAAAAAAACCAACCAAGCTCAGAGAGCACCAAGGACCCCACAATCTTCCTCCTCCTTCCCTTCTCCTCCTCCTCCTCCTCCCCCCCCCCAACAAAACCCACTCCCTTCTAGCACTGATGATGGTACCTAGTTGGGCAATGAAACATCTACAAGAAAACCTCCGAGCTCAGAGAGCACCAAGGACTCCCACCGTTCAACCCCGAGCGATCAATATTCCCTTCTGTCCATCTGTTCGATATTATAGCGCCCACCCCATTCGTACAATCGTGGCATTGTGACTTCTGGGGACACCCCTAGTCTCTCTCCTGATCCTTTTCTTGGATTAACGGAGGTTTTTAACCAAGTCTTGTCTTTGAGGAACGTTGTTTTCAAAAGGAAAATAATAATTTCCTCCCCCCTTTTAAGCCCTTGACACACACACACACTCTTCCAAGAGCAACATGCAAATCCCATTTCATGCCATTCTTCGGCCAAGGCTGAACGTTTCCTGCTGGGAAAGGAAGAGCGGAGTTGCTGCCAAAGGCCACACCTTGTGCCTGGCACTTACCTAGCCACGATTTCATTGTCTACCTTGATGATACAATAGGGATCGCTGGTGCCAGACCTTGAGGGAAACAAAACGACAACCAATTACAAGCACATCGACAAGTTCAAGAGCAAACTTTCTCCGCCGAGCGCAACTTGGCAATCAGGTTTGGGAAGCGCAGGGAGTCCTCGATGTACGACCACAGCTGAGCCCCAAATTTCCCTTGTTCCGTGAGCTTTACGACCTTCCTTTGCCACAGCGGTTAAGGCAATCCAAGAGCCTTGGTCTAAAGCACCCTGTTATTAAGAACAGCTGCCTGCAATTACTGCAGGTTCGAATCTCGCCAAGGCTCAAGGTTGACTCAGCCTTCCATCCTTTCTAAGGTAGGTGAAATGAGGACCCAGTTTGTGGGGGCAATAAGCTGACTTTGTATAAATATACAAAAGAATGAAGGCTATTGCTGAGCGCATTGTAAGCCGCCCTGAGTCTCCGGAGAAGGGCGGCATATAAATCAAATTTAAAAAAAAAAAAAACCCTGCCGCTGTTAAGTGAGCCACATGTCGTTAAGTGAGTCCAGCTTTCCCCCCCCGTTGACTTGGCTTGCCACCAAAGGGGATCATGTGACTCTGGCACACCGCGATCATCATAAATATCGTAAAATGGGCAAAACTGAACGAATGTTTCACTTAGCAACAGAAATTAGCGGTCATTAAGTCAAGGACTCTCTGTAACACTGGCTTTTGCAATTGACCGATGGGAATTTTGTCAATGCCGATGAGGTTCAAAGGCTGCTCCAGATGTTTTGGGTTTGCGCCCAGGGCTGCTATCGTTATTGGTGCTATCTTTGCTTTCTTTTGCCACTGTCATTCTATTTGTCTTTGCACGTCTGTTTGTATTTTGTTGTTTAGAATAGAATAGGATAGGATAGGGTAGGGTAGGTAGAGTAGAGTAGAGTAGAGTAGAGTAGAGTAGAGTAGAATAGAATAGAATAGAATAGAATAGAATAGAATAGAATAGAATAAATATAGGATAGAATAGAATAGAATAAATATAGGATAGAATAGAATAGAATAGAATAGAATAGAATAGAATAGAATAGAATAGAATAGAATAGAATAGAATAGAATAATGAATATGGAATGGAATGGAATGGAATGGAATGGAATAGAATAGAATAGAATAGAATAGAATAGAATAGAATAGAATAGAATAGAATAGAATAGAATAGAATAATGAATATGGAATGGAATGGAATGGAATAGAATAGAATAGAATAGAATAGAATAGAATAGAATAGAATAGAACAGAATAGAATAACAGAGTTGGAAGGGACATTGGAGGTCTTCTAGTCCAACCCCCTGCTTAGGCAGGAAACCCTACACCACTTCAGACAAATGGTTATCCAACCTCTTCTTAAAAACTTCCAGTGTTGGAGCATTCACAACTTCTGGTGGCAAGTCGTTCCACTGGTTAATTGTTCTCACTGTCAGGAAATTTCTCCTTAGTTCTAAGTTGTTTCTCTCCTTGATGAGTTTCCATCCGTTGCTTCTTGTCCTACCCTCAGGTGCTTTGGAGAATAGCTTGACTCCCTCTTCTTTGGGGCAGCCCCTGAGATATTGGAAGACTGCTATCATGTCTCCCCTAGTCCTTCTTTTCATCAAATTAAACATACCCAATTCCTGCAACGGTTCTTCCTATGTTTTAGCCTCCAGTCCCCTAAACCTCTTTCTTGCTCTTCTCTGCACTCTTTCTGGAGTCTCAACATCTATGTTACATCGTGGCGACCAAAACTGAATGCCATATTTCAAGGGTGGCCTTATTACCAAGGCCTTATAAAGTGGTATTAACACTTCACGTGATCTTGATTCCATCCCTCTGTTGATGCAGCCTAGAACTGCATTGGCTTTTTTGGCAGCTGCTGCACACGGCTTGACTTCCTCTTCTTTGGGGCAGCCCCTGAGATTTTGGAAGACTGCTATCATGTCTCCCCTAGTCCTTCTTTTCATTAAACTAGACATCCCCAATTCCAGCAACCGTTCTTCGTATGTTTTAGCCTCCAGTCCCCTGATCATCTTTGTTTAAATAGAACAATCCTTCCACATTGGTGCAGGGCATTTAATTTTCCTACTGAATCTAAGCGTGGGCAGCTTCCAGAGAGGGGAGGTGCAGCAGGAATTCTTCGATTCGCATCCCTGAATCTACAGCTGAACTGCAATGTTGCCCTAATAGGTTGTGTTTTTTTTTTGTTGGATTTCTTTTAATTTTTTAATATATATATATATATATATATCAAAAGCACTTTGGGCTTCCTGGTTGTGTGTGTTTTTTTTCTCCAGCTCTTGAATGAGCATCGCACAAAAGCATCCTTTGCTAAATCCATGGAAACGGTGAGTGGACACACGCCAGGTTGCGTGCGTGTGTGTGCGTCGAAGACAAGTCTCTGTTGTGATGCTGAAAAAATGATGGAGAAGGTTTTCCCCTCTTGGGGAATGAATCCGATTCTTTAGATCCTGGGCCCACTTAAACGGAAAGAGAGGTGTGTGTGTGGGGGGGGGGGGACTGGCCAAAAGCCGTTGGCAACAAGCAAGGCCAACCACAGGTAGAATAGCTTTTCCTTGGAGTCTTTCTGCGACAGGAAACAAACCAACATTTGAGTAGCTGTTCTACCCCAGCTACGGACCCCAAAGAACGCAGCACACACAAACTCTATACAAAGCTTATTTTACTCAAATAACTTAGTCTTTATCATTCAAAGGCTGTTAATGAACTGTCTTAACAGCCTACCAGAATTCTAAGATAAGGTAATCACAGTCTTACTAGAGTTGGCAGAAGCAATTTTGCAGACACGAAAGAGAGTGAACTAAAGTTGTTCCCTACAGCTTGTTGCAAGTGGCGTTCTTTCTTAAATAGGCTAAGGGAGTGGCCAATTAGCCCCAAGCCTTACTCTCGAGGAGACCTCCTCCTGAGGAGCCACTCCTGCCTTTTGGCAGCTCTGCGTGCCCGTGCATTGAGAAGAGGCTCCTCCTCTTCGTCCTCTTCACTTAAAGGAGCTTCTGGAGGTTCTGAAGGCCCTGGCTGAATCCCGCCTCTGGCACCGCATCTTCTCCAGCCTCCTCACTGTCCGACTCTAGCGCTAGCTGCACAGGCTGCTGGCGCAGTACCACACCAGTCTCCTCGTTGTTGGAATCAGCTACAATTGCACAGGCTGCTGACGGGCCACAACAGTAGCTGTCTCAGAGAAGAGAGGTTTGACCTATTCTCCAAAGCACCAGAGGGCAGGGCAAGAAGTAAGGGATGGAAGCTTATCAAAGAGAGATCCAACCTAGAGTTAAGGAGAAATTTCTTATCAGTAAGAATAATGAACTAATGGAGCGACTTGCCTCCAGAAGTTATGGGTGCTCCATCACTGGAGGTTTTCAAAAAGAGTGTCAACTCGCAAAACATCCCTGGCCTGCTCTCGAGTTGCCATAGGCCAGAGGGGGATGGGAAACCGTCGAAATGGCACAGCAGCCAAAGACAGATGCACATTCTATGCTTTTCTCTCTCAAGGCTGTATCCCAGGGTTACTTACAGCAGCCGAGGGGAGTGACCTCAAAATTGAGGTCCCCGCAAAATTGCTCTATCTATTCTATCTATCTATCTATCTATCTATCTATCTATCTATCTATCTATCTATCTATTCTTTCTATATATCATCTATCTATCTATCTATCTATCTATCTATCATCTATCTATCTATCTATTCTTTCTATATATCATCTATCTATCTATCTATCTATCTATCTATCATCTATCTATCTATCTATCTATTCTTTCTATATATCATCTATCTATCTATCTATCTATCATCTATCTATCTATTCTTTCTATATATCATCTATCTATCTATCTATCATCTATCTATCTATCTATCTATCTATCTTTCTATCATCTTTCTATCTATCTATTCTATCTATCTATTCTATCTATCTATCATCTATCTATCTATATCTATCTATCTATCTATCTGTCTGTCTATCTATCTATCTATCTATCATCTATCTATCTATCTATCTATCTATCTATCTATCTATCTATCTATCTATCTATCTATCTATTTAGGCGGTGGGCAGTCTGCCTGCAATACTGCATCCTAACCACCCATATCTATATAAATTATACAGAGACAAATATTTCTCTCTCTATAAATCATCAAAGCCTCATTTGTAGGTGTGGTCTCTGCCACATGAAACAACTCAAAAAGCACCCAGAAGATTCCAAAGGGAGGCATTATGGGAAGGACGGTTTACTCAAGAGTTTGCTTGTTTGCAACATCTGATTACATTTAACTCATATTGGCTGTGTTTGCAGAGAGATCATAAAAAGACTAAGAAGCTATTGATAATAATCAAGCTAGTATTTGCTTAAAGCTTTGGCCTGTGTTATTGAGGGTTGGGAGTGGGGTTCTTTGAGGTGCAAAGTTGGGGATTGTTTAAACCTAGTGTGTAGAAATAAACTACATGGGATCAGAGGGCAGGATGAGTAATGACTACAGGCTTGATAAAGAGAGATTCAACCGAGGAGAAATTTATTGACGAGAACAGTTACTCAATGGAATAGATACAGTATAGGTGGTACCTTGCTCAGTAGGAGTAACTGTGAGAGGGATCTTGGAGTCCTAGTGGACAACCATTTAAATATGAGCCAGCCGTGTGCAGCAGCTGCCAAAAAAGCCAACACAGTTCTAGGCTGTTGAGAGAAGCAATTCTGGAGATCAGGGGCACTTTGGGATCTTGTAAATTGTTGCCCTGGGGCAGCTTTATGGGCCTGCACCAGAGGTGGGTTTCAGCAGGTTCTGACCAGTTCTGGAGAACCGGTAGCAGAAATTTTGAGTAGTTTGGAGAACCAGTAAATGCCACGTCTGACTGGCCCCGTCCCCATCTATTCTCTGCCTCCCGAGTCCCAGCTGACTGGGAGGAAATGGGGATTTTGCAGTAACCTTCCCCTGGAGTGGGGAAGGAATGGAGATTTGACAGTATCCTTCCCCTGCCATGCCCACAAAACCACGCTCACCAAGCCATACCCACAAAACCGGTAGTAAAAAAATTTGAAACCCATCACTGGCCTGAACCATTGCCGCTAATAAACAGGTGGTTCAGAATTGGTATTTTGCAACAGGCTGACCTTCTGTTTCGAACTTTTATGAGAATAATCCTTTCCAAAATGTCAGGCGTGGGAAACAGCCTGGGGGTGAGTTGGTATGGGGCATTGAGAAAGAACCAGGAAGAAATTCCATATTTCCTGCAAACACTATTTAACTTGTGTCTAGCTTAACGATTAGGGGAATGGGTCAATTGTGCTTGGTTTAAACCCTGATTGAACAAACTATGCAGGGGTGAAATCTAAAATTTGTTACTACCGGTTCTGTGGGCGTGGCTTGGGGGGATTAATGTGACTGGGTGGGCGTGGCCAACTTTTTTTTTTTTAACTTTTAAAAGCATTTTTCCTACAACCTCTTCAGCCGAAGAGGCTGCAGGGAAAAAAAATGCTTTTAGAAGCCTCTGACGATCAGGCAAACTCAGCTGGGATCTCCAGAGGCTTTTAAAGGCATTTTTTTTTTCCCTACAGCCTCTTCGGCCGAAGAGGTTGTAAAAAAAAATGCTTTTAAAAGCCTCTGACGATTCCAGCTTAGCTGCGTGATCATCAGAGGCTTTTTTTTTTTTTTAAACTTTTAAGCATTTTTCCTACAACCTCTTCGGCCAAAGAGGTTGCAGGAAAAAAAATGCTTTTAGAAGCCTCTGACGATCAGGCAACTCAGCTGGGATCGCCAGAGGCTTTAAAAGGCATTTTTTTTCCCCTACAGCCTCTTCGGCCGAAGAGGCTGTAAAACAAAATGCTTTTAAAAGCCTCTGACAATTCCAGCTGAGCTGCGCGATCATCAGAGGCTTTTTTTTTTTTTTTACTTTTAAAAGCATTTTTCCTACAACCTCTTCGGCTGAGGTTGGGATCGCCAGAGGCTTTTAAAGGCATTTTTCCCCCTACAGTCTCTTCGGCCAAAGAGGTTGTAAAAAAAAATGCTTTTAAAAGCCTCTGACGATTCCAGCTGAGCTGCGTGATCATCAGAGGCTTTTTTTTTTTTTTTACTTTTAAAAGCATTTTTTCGGCTGAAGGGGTTGTAGAAAAAATGCTTTTAAAAGTAAAAAAAAAAGAAGCCTCTGATGATCGCGCGGCTCTTTCTCTTTCTCTTTTTCTTTCTTTCTTTCTTTTTTCCTTAGCCAGTTTTCCAGGACCCTTTATTAAGGCAAGTCCAATTTCTAACTTACGGAGTGTCCTTCTCCAATTGTGGAAGAAAAGGGGGAATGGGTTATGCAGTCTCCAAGCAACTGTGCCAGAGACGAAGGAACTTTTGAGGAGAGGGGGGGAGAACTTCGCCCCTCCTACCCATCCGTCCCCCCCCACCATACTCTTGGCATGAAGAGTCCATCTCTCTACTTGGAAATGACTCTCGCTGTTTCCAAGGAAGCTGACTCCCGCACCTGGGAACAGGCAGTTCATTTCAGAGAATCGAAGAACTCCAGGGTGCTTTTTAAAACCAAGGTTAGATTCAAGATAGAGGCATTATTTGGAAGCCTCCATCAAGGTCAATTTCTCTCAAAATCACCGCTCTCTTTGCTGAAGGACACATCCCTTCTTCATCTACGGTAGATATGGTCCAGAATGCTGCAGAAGAAGAAGCGATGGGTACCTAACTTTTCGCATTGGCCAACTCTCCTTAAGCTACTACCTTCCAGGTGAGCTGGGACAGAAGCAACAACCTTGGCTGGAAAGGGAATGCATAAATGCCTGGTTAAAAAGGGAAAACCGGTTGAGGTTATATCCTCCAAGTCTTAAAGAAACTTTTGATTTCAACCCGAACAGAGGGCTGGGAAAATATTTACAGACCCCCTTGCATCCTGGACATCAACTGTTTCAACTCCTACCCTCCAAACGACGCTATAGAGCACTGCACACCAGAACAACTAGACACAAGGACAGTTTTTCCCCCGAACGCCATCACTCAGCTAAACAAATAATTCCCTCAACACTGTTGAACTATTTACTAAGTCTGAACTACTATTAATCTTCTCATCCTTCCCATCACCCATCTCCTCCAATTATGACTGTATGACTGAATTTTGTTGCTTGTATCCTTACAATTTATATTGATATTATTTCCTAGTATGATTTGATTGCTTATTTGTACCCTATGACTCTCATTAAATGTTGTACCTTATGATTCTTGATGAATGTTTTATTTTTATGTACACTGAGAGCGTAGGCACCAAAGACAAATTCCTTGTGTGTCCAATCACACTTGGTCAATAAAAGAATTCTATTCTATTCTATTCTGTTCTGTTCTGTTCTGTTCTGTTCTATTCTATTCTATTCTATTCTATTCTATTCTATTCTATTCTATTCTATTCTATTCTATTCTATTCCTCCTCCTCCTCCTCCTCCTCCTCCTCCTCCTCCTCCTGTCCTGTCCTGTCCTATTCTATTCTATTCTATTCTATTCTATTCTATTCTATTCTATTCTATTCTATTCTATTCTATTCTATTCCTACTCCTACTCCTACTCCTATCCTACTCCTACTCCTACTCCTACTTCTATTCTATTCTATTCTATTCTATTCTATTCTATTCTATTCTATTCTATTCTATTCTACTCTACTCTACTCTACTTTATTCTATTCTATTCTATTCTATTCTATTCTATTCTATTCTATTCTATTCTATTCTATTCTATTCTACTCTACTCTACTCTACTCTACTTTATTCTATTCTATTCTATTCTATTCTATTCTATTCTATTCTATTCTATTCTATTCTATTCTATTCTATTCTATTCTAGCGGGAGGAAAGCCAGATTGGACTAGGGGACAAGATAACACCCAGAAGGTTCTGGGACCACCAAGAGATTTGTTTCAAAAGCATCCGTTTTCATGCCTTTTTAATACAAATCAATTCTGAATGCTGGATTTCCTCCTGATTTCTAGATCTGGGAGGTCTTTTAATCTGTTGGTTTTTTTTAAAAAAAAAAATCTTGGGAGGGGGAGAACAAGAAATCCCGGCGCTCCTGTTTCAAGAGATTTTTTTTTTCCACTTTCGTGCCCCGCCTGGAGCGCTTCCCACTGCAAAGGCGGCTTACAACTCTTTCTTTTTTTTTAAAGCACCGGTTCTTCCCCCGAAGCGCGCAGGCAAACCCAGTCCGCTCCGTATATAACTAGGGGAGGCATCTAAATCCCATCCATTCGGGCCCCCCAACCCATCCATTTGGGATGGTGCCCGGCCACCCCCCGACCAGAGGCGACTCCTCCAGCCAACCCTCTTTTGAGTCGGACCCCCCCACCCCACCTCTCCTCGTGGGTCCCCCCCCTTTTGCGCCCGCCCGCTGCTAAGGATGGGAAACGGGGAGGGGGTGGGTTGGGGGGGGTCCCCTTTTTTTTTTTTTTTTTTTTTGCCGGCCAACTCACACGTCCTTGGCGGGCAGGTCCCGTCCCTCCACCACGCGGAAGTGCAGCGCCGTGTTCTTGGCCATTGTGGCCCCCCCACCCTCGACAGGTGAGGGCGGGCGACAGGTTGCAGATCCCGCACCGACCCGGGAGAAGGCTGGATGGGGAGAAGGGCGCTTTCCCGGTGAACCCCCGAAGAGCCTTGCAAGCAGGAACGTTGCAAACACCCACCGCCCCCCCCCTCAACCCCACTTTCCAGGCAAGCAAGCAAAGCAAAGCAAGCAGAGGAACCGGTCCGGCCAGCTGGCGAGCTCCGGCGGCTTCAGCAGCGCCTACCTGCCAGCTGGCGCTCGCTCTGCCTTTGCCTTGCAGCCGAAGCTACAGGTTGCCCGAGTCGAGGCGGAGAAGTGGCCGCTCGCCTCCTCGTGGCAAACAAAAAACACCCCCCCAAAAAAAACGGGGGAGCCACCGGTTTGGCTTGCCGCTCTTCGCTTGGAAGAGTGGGGAGAAGAAGAAGGGAGATGGCCAATTCAGCTGTCAGAGCCCGCCCAGCCTCCGCCTCCTCCTCCTCCTCCTCCTCCTCCTCCAACCAATTTTGGTCCCCCTACTACCCCCCCCCAAAAAATGTTGAGAAAGAAAGAAAGAAAGAAAGAAAGAAAGAAAGAAAGAAAGAAAGAAAGAAAGAAAGAAAGAAAGAAAGAAAGAAAGAAAGAAAGAAAGAAGAAAGTGCAGTGGTCTCCTGAAAAAAAAAATCAGAGAAGGGGTGGGGAAAAGAGTCCCCAGGGAGCTGGGCGGCATAGAAATGCAACAAGAAAGAAAGAAAGAAAGAAAGAAAGAAAGAAAGAAAGAAAGAAAGAAAGAAAGAAGAAGAAGGAAGGAAGGAAGGAAGGAAGGAAGGAAGGAAGGAAGGAAGGAAGGAAGGAAGGAAGGAAGTCCAGTGGCCACCTGAAAAAAAAAATCAGAGAAGGGGTGGGGAAAAGAGTCCCTAGGGAGTTGGGCGCATAGAAATGCGAGAAAGAAAGAAAGAAAGAAAGAAAGAAAGAAAGAAGGAAGGAAGGAAGGAAGGAAGGAAGGAAGGAAGGAAGGAAGGAAGGAAGTCCAGTGGCCACCTGAAAAAAAAAATCACAGAAGGGGTGGGGAAAAGAGTCCCAAGGGAGTTGGGCAGCATAGAAATGCGACAAACAAATAAAAAAGAAAGAAAGAAAGAAAGAAAGAAAGAAAGAAAGAAAGAAAGAAAGAAAGAAAGAAAGAAAGAAAGAAAGAAAGTAAATAAGTCCAGTGGCCTCCTGAAAAAAATAGCATCTTTGAAACAAGCGTGACCTGGATGGCGGAGAATACTCTACGGAAATTTCAGAGAAGAGCAGCTAAGTTGCCACTAGCCTGACTCGGTGGCTCAGGGGCTAAGGACGCTGAGCTTGTCGATCGGCAGTTCGGGCAGTTCGAATCCCTAGTGCAGGTCTCCTGCCCGAACCGGTGGTTGGACTAGATGACCTCCAGAGCCCTACTGACTTCTGTTACTGGTCAAGATGATCAAAGACCCCTGGAGACTAAAACAACTGAAGAAGGGCTGCAGGAATTGGGTCTGGCTAGTCTAGAGACAAGAAGGACTAGGGGAGACAGGATAGCAGGATGCCAGTATTTGAGGGGCTGCCACAAAGAAGAGGGGGTCAACGTATTCTCCAAAGCACCAGAGAGCAGGACAAGAAGCAATGGATGGAAACTAACCAAGGAGAGAAGCAACCTGGAATGAAGGAGAAACTTCCTAAGAGTGAGGGCAATTAACCAGCGGAACAGCTTGCCACCAGAACTTGTGGATGCTCCATCACTGGAGGTTTTTAACGAGAGGCTGAACAGCCACTTGTCTGAAATAGTATAGGTTCTCCTGCTTGAGCAGGGGGTTGGACTAGAAGACCTCCAAGGTCCCTTCCCACTCTGTTTATTCTATTCTATTCTATTCTATTCTATTCTATTCTATTCTATTCTATTCTATTCTATTCTATTCTATTCTATTCCTATTCCTATTCCTATTCCTATTTCTATTTCTATTTCTAGTCTAGTCTAGTCTAGTCTAGTCTATTTCTATTTCTATTTCTATTCCATTCCATATTCATTATTCTATTCTATTCTATTCTATTCTATTTCTATTTCTATTTCTATTTCTATTTCTATTTCTATTCCATTCCATTCCATATTCATTATTCTATTCTATTCTATTCTATTCTATTCTATTCTATTCTATTCTATTCCTATTTCTATTTCTATTTCTAGTCTAGTCTAGTCTAGTTTATTTCTATTTCTATTTATTTCTATTTCTATTTCTATTTCTATTCCATTCCATATTCATTATTCTATTCTATTCTATTCTATTTCTATTTCTATTTCTATTTCTATTTCTATTTCTATTTCTATTCCATTCCATATTCATTATTCTATTCTATTCTATTCTATTCTATTCTATTCTATTCTATTCTATTCTATTCTATTCTATTCTGTTCTATTCTATTCTATTCTCCTGCCAGCAGGGGTGCTTCTAAACACCAGCTGGAGGCGCGAACAAGAGGTGGAATGAGCGCTGCCAGATCTGTGCCGCAAAAAGGCCATCCAGGCGATCTCTAGGTGGCAGCAGAGGTAGAAAGAAACGTACTTTGCCGCCCCCTAGTGGTGGCCCGGTGTTTTGCAGACCCAGGGATGCTGAATCTCCCTGAATCCTGGAGGAATTCCAGAGGCAGCGTTTGTACGGTATGCCTTCTGGGTTTCAAAATCTCATGGGGTCTGGCCCATAAATCCGGGGTCTCGAAATAGAAGGCTGAAGATGCCACCCTTGGACTCCGAAGTAGTTTGATCTTGGCAGGGCTCTTTGGGCCTAGAAAAGCCAATGTCCTAAATCTCCGGATCCGTGCTTGATCTTCGCAGCGATTGCCCTGCTAATCCCAACACCTTCCTGGATCCTTGAGTAGTTTGCCGTAACCTTTTACCAGCTTCAGCTCAACAATCTGGCTGCCGTTATCCATGCCTCAGTAAACACCCAGGACATGAGAAGGCACCCTCAGGCTAAGGTTCCCTAGCAACTGGAATTCAGAGTTAGCCTCTTGCCTCTTCTACTCTGCCGATCAAACGCCCGGCTTCCCCTTTCTCAAATTTGTGGGTTTGGGTGATAAGTGAATTATGGAGAGTTACCGCACGCTAAGTCAGCAAACGTCCTAGGACACCTTCCCCCAGGGTGACTGTGGCCAAAATGTCAGCTCTTTTCTCTCTTTCTTTCTTTTCTTTCTTTCTTTCTTTCTTTTTCTTTCTTTCCTTCCTTTCTTCCTGCCTGCCTGCCTGCCTGCCTGCCTTTTTTCTTTCTTTCTTTTTTCTTTCTTTCTTTCTTTCTTTCTTTCTTTCTTTCTTTCTTTCTTTCTTTCTTTCTTTCTTTCTTTCTTTCTTTCTTTCTTTCTTTCTTCCTTCCTTCCTTCCTGCCTGCCTGCCTGCCTGCCTTTTTTCTTTCTTTCTTTTTTCTTTCTTTCTTTCTTTCTTTCTTTCTTTCTTTCTTTCTTTTTCTTTCTTTCCTTCCTTCCTTCCTGCCTGCCTGCCTGCCTTTTTTCTTTCTTTCTTTTTTCTTTCTTTCTTTCTTTCTTTCTTTCTTTCTTTTTCTTTCTTTCCTTCCTTTCCTTCCTGCCTGCCTGCCTGCCTGCCTGCCTTTTTTCTTTCTTTCTTTTTTCTTTCTTTCTTTCTTTCTTTCTTTCTTTCTTTCTTTCTTTCTTTTTCTTTCTTTCCTTCCTTCCTTCCTTCCTGCCTGCCTGCCTGCCTGCCTTTTTTCTTTCTTTCTTTCTTTCTTTCTTTCTTTCTTCTTTCTTTCTTTCTTTCTTTCTTTCTTTCTTTCTTTTTCTTTCTTTTTCCTCCTCCTTTCGGAGTATTTTGAGGCATTCAGCAAACATCCTAGGACACCTTCTCCCAGGGTGTCTGTGGCCAAAATTTTCTTTCTTTCTTTCTTTCTTTCTTTCTTTCTTTCTTTCTTTCTTTCTTTCTTTCTTTCTTTCTTTATTTATTTATTTTTCTTTCTTTCCTTCCTTCCTTCCTGCCTGCCTGCCTGCCTTTCTTTCTTCTTTCTTTCTTTCTTTCTTTCTTTCTTTCTTTCTTTTCTTTCTTTCTTTCTTTCTTTTTTCTTTCTTTTTTCTTTCTTTCTTTCTTTCTTTCTTTCTTTCTTCTTTTCTTTTTTTTTCTTTCTTCTTTCTTTTTTTCTTTCTTCTTTCTTTCTTTCTTTCTTTTTCCTCCTCCTTTCAGAGTATTTTGAGGCATTCAGCAAACATCCAAGGACACCCTCCCCCAGGTGGCTGTGGCCAAAATGTCAGATTTTCTTTCTTTCTTTCTTTCTTTCTTTCTTTCTTTCTTTCTTTCTTTCTTTCTTTCTTTCTTTCTTTCTTTCTTTCTTTCTCTTTCTTTCCTTCCTTCCTTCCTTCCTTCCTTCTTTCCTTCTTTTGTTCTTCCTTTCCTTTCTTTCTTTCTTCCTTCCTTCCTTCCTTTCTTCCTTCCTTCCTTCTTTCCTTCTTTTTTCTTCCTTCCTTTCTTTATTTTTTCTCCTCCCTTCGGAGTGTTTTAAGGCGTTCAAAAGGGTCAAAGGTATTGCAAGCGTTTAAAAAACATCCTCTAAAAATAAACCCTGCTTTTGGAATAATGCAACCTTTTGACAGGGCAGGAAATAGCCTTAGGACAGCAGAAATTCCTTTCTGTGGGAGGAGGAGAAGGGAGAAAAAGAAACCAACAGGATGGCTCAGGATTTAGGCTTGAATTTGTTGTAAACCAGACCATTGGCTGAGGGAGACATGGGGCAGGGGGAGGGCTCTTTATTCTAAATTAAATGCTGTGGTCTGATTGGCTCATGGACTCAGAAGTTAGGCAGAGTTTCTGCCTGGACACCTTGGTTTGCAATAATATGTGTGTGGGAGAGAGAGAGAGAGATGGAGAGAGAAAGAATGAAAGAGAGAGAGGCAGAGACAGAGACAGAAAAAGAGAGAGAAAGAAAGAGAGGATGAGAGACAGAGAGAGAGAGGAAGAACAAAAGAGAAAAAGAGGCAGACAAAAACAGAAAAACAGAGAGAAAGGCAAAGAGAGAAAGAGAGAGATAAAGAAGGGAGGAAGAGAGATAGAGAGAGAGTGAAAGACAGAAGGAGAGGAAGAAAGAAAAAAGGAGAGAGAGAGAGAGAGAGGCAGAGAGGAAGAACAAAAGAAAGAAAGAGGCAGACAGAAGCAGAAAGGCACAGAGAGAAAGACAGAGAAAGAAAGAGAGAGATTAAGAAGAGAGGAAGAGAGACAGAGAGACAGAGAGAGAATGAAAGAAAAAAGAGAAAGAAAGAGAGAGAGAATGAGAGAGAGAGAGACCATATTCAACAAACAGTAGGCTGTAAAGCTGTGCATTTCCCT